AAAAGAGAGAGAGAGAGAGAGAGATAGCTTAAACAGAAGAACAAATCGAAGCCCTAGAGCTCATCCTTTTAAGTGACCGAGAGATAGCCAACCTATCAGATGCACAGTTCAAAACACTGGTGATCAGGAAGCTCACAGAATTGGTTGATTTTGGTCACAAATTAGATGATCAAATGCAGGTTACGATAAAAGAAATGAAGGAAAATGCACAGGGAACCAATAGTGGTGGGAAGGAAACTGGGACTCAAAACAATAGAGTGGACCAGAAGGAAGAAAGAAACAACCAAACAGGAAAGAATGGAGAAATAAGAATTCAAAAAAATGAGGAGAAGCTTAGGAACCTCCAGGACATCTTTAAACATTCCAACATCCGAATTATAGGGGTACCAGAAGGGGAAGAGGAAAAGCAACAGATTGAAAACATATTTGAACAAATAATAAAGGAGAACTTCCCCATTCTGGCTAAGGAAGTAGACTTCCAGGAAATCATGGAAGCTCAGAGAGTCCCAAAGAAGTTGGACCCAAGAAGAAACACACCAAGGCACATCATCATTACATTACCACGGTAAAAATGAAGGAGAGAATCCTAGAAGCAGCAAGAGATAAGGAAACAGTAACCTACAAAGGAGTTCCCATCAGACTATCAGCTGATTTCTCAAAAGAGATCTTACAGGCAAGAAGGGGCTGGAAAGAAGTATTCCAAGTCATGAAAGGCAAGGACCTCCATCTGAGATTGCTCTATCCAGCAAAGCTTTTATTTAGAATGGAAGAGCAGATAAAGGGCTTCTCAGACAAGGTCAAGTTGAAGGAGTTCATCATCACCAACCCCTTATTTTATGAAATGCTAAAGGGACTTATCTAAGAAAAAGAGGATTAAAAAACATGTATAGTATAGTAAATGACAGCAAACTCACAATTATTAACAACCACACCTAAAGCAAAACCAAAAGAAACTAAGCAAACAAGTAGAACAGGAACAGAACCACAGAAATGGAGATCACATGGAGGGTTAGCAACAGGGGAGTGGGAGGAGGAGAGAGGGGGAAAAGGTACAGAGAATAAGTAGCATAGATTGTAGGTTGAAAATAGACATGAGGGCAATAATAGTATGAGAAATGTAGAAGCTAAAGAACTTATAAGTTTGACACATGGCCATGAACTAAAAGAGGGGAATGTGGGTGGGAGAGGGTGTACAGGGTGGAGGGGAGTGAATGGGGGAAAGTGGGACAACTGTAATAGCATAATCAATAAAATATACTAAACAAATAAAAAAAGATTTTATTTATTTTTGGATACCAGGAAGGGAGGGAGAGAGAGGGGGAGAGAAACATTGATGTGTGAGAGATGCATCAGTGGGTTTCCTCCCTCACGCCCCCATATGGGGACCTGGCCCACAACCCAGCCATGTGCCCTCAACTGGGAATCAAACTGGTTACCTTTCAGTTCGTAAGCCGGCACTTACCCCACTGAGCCACACTGGACCAGCCAGGGTGTGGAGGCTTATATTTTAAGGCCTCTCTTCTTACCGTATTGAAAAGGGAAAGAAAAAACATCCTCAAAAACCTCATCAAAGAGATAGATACAAATGGTTCAAACAAAGCAACAATCAGGTGGGAGGTGGAAACAAAAAAACAAAAACAAAAAAGCAACAATCCTCTGAGCCACTCTTTTCCAGGCCAGAGACAACCATTTTGAACTGCTTCTGTGTTGTTGTAACCTCCATATTGCTAATTAACCTCCTAATATGACTATTTCTTGATTTATCAGCCTAGACATTATTAGTTTCCTGATAGGTTGAATAAGAATTTAGTTTACATATCTCTCTCTGTTTCTCCTCTCTCACTCAAAGTAGTTTTATCATCATTCTTGGTTTCTCCACTGGCCACCTTCGAAACCTGTGTAAGCTCCATTTTTTCATTCCATTAATCATAGACAACATCTCTTGACTGTCTGCATATAAGATGAGGACGTTAGTAGCCTATACTTCCCATCACCTCTCAAGGGGAAAGTTTTGTTTTTGTTTTCAAATGTAGGAGATTCTTTATTAGGCTTAAATGGAAAGGAATCAATGCAAGTAAACACTTGAAGACAAATGACAGAACAATTGTTAGCATGAGGTCCCTGGACATGCAGAAGATGAGTTCTTCTTCATAATGGCACCACCAATTTCCGGGCGCAAGTCTTAGAAACTTCTGGAACATATGGAACTCTTTTGTACCCTGGATCCAGTCAGCTATAAAATTCCATAGATTCCATCTCTTCAGTTACCATCATTCTTTTTTTTTAAATATATTTTTTATTTATTTTTAGAGGAAGGGGACAGGAAGGAGAAAGAGTGGGAGAGAAACATCAATCTGTGGTTGCCTCTTGCATGCCCCAAACTGAGGACCCGGCCCACAACCCAGGCATGTGACCTGACTGGGAATCAAGCCAGCAACCCTTTGGCTCACAGGCCCACGCTCAATCCACTGAGCTATACCAGCCAGGTCACCATCATTCTTTTTTGTTCTGTCCATGGCATTCGTTATTTCTGACTTTGCAATAGACTTCCAACTGACCTCTCTTTCTCCTCACACTCCCCATTCACACTGATGCCAGGTTAATCTTAAAGCAGAGTTCTCATCAGCTTATTCTCTTGTAAAAATCCATAGTTTGGCTTTCAAGACCTTGCACAATGTGGTCCCAGCCCAGCATGGGGTAATGGAAGGTCCAGCTAGGGAGGAGTGGGGTGGAGGACAAGGGCAAACAGGCTGTGTTTCCCTGGTCTGAGCATGGTTCCTCAGGCCCACTCATCCAACAAGAGCACCTGGGCCCTTCCAGAAGCGGTCGAGACTGGTTAGGCACCCCGAATGTGTATATTGCAAAGTCATATAACCAGAGCATAGGCTCTAGTTCAGAAATTCTTTTAACATTTCTTTTAGAAATTGACAAAAGAAGAAATATTTAGCCAATAAAAATTTAAAAGTTCAACATTGCTAATCCAGAGTGGTAGCCATGAGAAGAGGTATGCACTGTCTTTTAAAGGGCTCCCTTTGTCTACAATATTAAATGAATCAAGATCTGGACAGTTTAGCTGGCAGCTGTTTCTCTCCCCTTCTCTGGTCTGAGTCCTTTAGGCAACTGGATATGCCTCAAATAGGGCAGTAACTGTGGAGAGCATGTGAGGAATGTACCTCTGTGTCACAGAAGCTCTGACACTGAGCAAGATTATTTTTAGAGGTGACCTTCTAGGTTCCAAGGAAAAGTAAACAGACAGATGCACACAATTTCCTCTGTGAGGCTCACAATAAACAAATTAGCATGCATACACTTGCTATTATCACATGTTCTGAATACAGGTCTCTTAAAGAGCAAGCTCACGTGAAAAGCTTTATTGAAAGCTCAAAGCCAACCAAGATGAAAAGAGGAGGAACTGAATGCAAGTTCACAGCTTTTAGCTGCTCACCAAATTGCAGGTGAAACAACTTAGTTATTTATTCCAAATTTTTATAAAACCTGTTGTTTTAAATAAAAGTTTCCATACTTCCACATGAAAATATAGCAGGGCACCAAAATTTTACAGGGCACCGAATCTGGGCTATAGGGAAGCTGTGTCACCTGGGTGATTTGATGTTTTGCTAAAAAAAAACTCTGCATGAGACATGATGCATGAGCCGGTGCATTCTTGTAATGAAGCTGCCAATCACCAGTTGCCCATAGCTGCAGCCTTCTGAATTCATCTGAATAGTTTCTGCAGGGGAATGTTCATGCTTAACACAAAATTTGATGCAGATTCATTGCTCTACTCGGTCATTTTGAATGCAACAGCTACATAGTACACATACTCAGTCAATGACATCTACCACCCCCTCTGACTAGCACAGTGAAGTCATCATTGTTCACACATGCACATTCCAGTCCACTCTCCTTGGCAGCCAGGTTACATCAATGTTGTGCAAACCATTCTTGTTATATTAACAATGCCTGGACTTTTTTTTGACTGACCTTGTATATAAGTCTCGCTCATTCTATTGCTGGACATTTAGATCATTTCCAGTGTATTACTATTACAAACAATGCATCAGTAAACACCTTTAACAGATTATCTTTGAAGACTTGCATGAACTTTTCTGTTGGACAGCTTCTGGGAAGAATTCCTTCCAAATTATTTTCATACTTTAAAAGTTTTTATTTAGTTATTGCTTTTCACCTGTCTCCTGAAACATATGAAAATAATTTCTCATGATGATTTAGCTCCTAACAATGTGCCTGACACATAGTAGTGGGTCATTAACTTCTGGTTATATTAAAGAACATAAATATTAGTTATTGTACTAGCTATGAAAAAGTAATGCCTTTTACACTGTTGAAGCACATTACTCTGTTGGCCTCACTCTTAATTGTCTCAGACAACTGAAGTATTTAAATGCTGGCAAAATGTTATGTTCATAATAGTGGTTGTCATAATAGCAAATGTAATAAAAATATAAGTACATACCATAATACATAGCACTTATTTTTCCTTTTCTAAATTAGTTTTTATTTTATTGTATTTTTGCCATTACCCTTATCCCCCTATTTCCTCTCCGACCTCCACCCATCCCCTCCCGCCCACAGCACTTCTGATTGTGTCCTTGTTAACAAGCTGTTGTTGTCACCTGAAGTCATAGAATTCTAGAGTATACTGAGGTCTGGACATCAAATAGTCTGTCCAGTTTTTTTAAATGAAGAATTTAAAGCCCAGAACTGGCCAAAGATTTGAGAATTAATAGATTCTACTTAAAACACCTCTTATTTCTCACCTTCCTTTCTTGAATTGAATGCACAAATTTAGTATCACTTTATTTAATTTGATTATATCATATAAACAAGGCACATTATTGACCAAGATGTTTCCTCAAGTCTCCTTAGTTCCATCAATTTACCTGCCTAGAGTTTTTTTTCTTGCTCTCTAATTTTCTATGTGAAGTCAGCCAAGGATTGTAAATTAAATAACTAAGCTTGTTAGAACTATATGTCATGCTTGCTTTGGCAACACACATACTAAAATTGGAACAATACAGAGACTAGCCTGGCCCCTGAGCAAGGATGACACGCAAATTTGTGAAGTGTTCCATATTTTTCTTTAAAAAAAAAAAGACCTGGGATCTGAGTGTAAGCCTAAAGTTTTCACGGGAATGAAACACAAGTGTCTTACCACCTTTCTGTCAGCTATTTTGGCTACTCAGGACAGCTTTGTGTGTATGTGCATATGCCCTTCCTAAATTTTAGCAGCTTAGGAACATGTTGCCATATTCTGGATAGACAAGTTTATATCTATAAATATAAATATATGTTTATAAAATACTATAATATATAAAATTATATATAGTATAAAATGGTTGAATACCTGGAAGATATTCAGAGCCATTTAGATTTTAAAATGTTCCTATTTCTAAGGAAACAAATAGTCACAGGGTCAAACAAGTAGTCAATGCTGTCAGCATCTAGCCAAGGTCTATTTAAAGGACAGTGAAATAAGAATCCTTTTCCAACTCTTTGCTGGTACACAATGCCAACTTTGGTTTCATCATCAGTAATTTAGGAATAGTATCTGTGGCAGGCAGAATAAGGGCTGCCCAAAGATGTTTACATCCTGATTCTTGAAATCTGTTAATATGTTACCTTACATGGTAAAAGGGACTTTGCACATGTGATTAAGTTAAGGATGTTGAGATGGAGAGATTTTCCTGGACCATCCAGGTGAGCCCAATGTAATTACAAGGTCCGTAAAAGTGAAAGGTGGAAGCAGGAGAGTCAGAGTGGGAGACTGTGGACAGAAGCAGTGGTCAGAGTTATACTATTGCTGAAGGAAGAGACCATGAGCCAAGGAATGCAGGTGGCCTTTAGAAGCTGGAAAAGGCAAGGAAATAGATTCTCCTGAGAGCCTTTAGCAAAGAATACAGCCCATTGCTGACACCTTGATCTTAATCCAGTGAGACTATTTTAGATTCTCGACCTCCGTAACCGTAAGATAATAAATATGTGGTTTTTATAAGTCACTAGGTTATAACAAACTACCATAAAGTAGTGCAAGTTTGAGTATTGATTGAAAGACAACTGTTCTTTTTCATTTTAATAAAATATTTAAGGAATGTGAAACTGTTTAAAGAAAAAAAGCTGAGAAAGTAACCACACAATAATAATAGTTAACATTCAGTAAGTACATACTATATACCAGACATTATGTTTTACGAAATTTCATTTAAGGCATACAATAATCCTTTGATGTAGGACTATGGCATTAATCTGTTTATTAGACAGATAAGAAAGCAAATGTAAAGGAGCTAAATAATTTAACTTTAATAAGCAAAGAAATTAGCCGAACTTTCCATTGGGATGGTACAGAATTCATCCTTCCATGTCAAGCAGGGAAAAGTTAAAAGTAGGTACCATAAAAGTAAGGCAAAGGCAAAGTGTAAGATTCTGAAGGGATAGGCAATGCCCTGGGTTGTGAAAATAAATCGTGTCTTGAATGTTTTAAGTTCCCACTGCATGGCAGGCAGTTCCCTCTGTTACAAGGGGCTCAGCCTATTAATGGGCAGACCACGTGGAATCCCCAACAGGTACACCCTTTCCTCCCCTACCATCCAGGCCCCCCACCTGGAATCTTTGACAAATAGCCCAAAACCACAACCCCAGTCTCAGTCTTTAACTAACAGTCCTGAACCTTACAATATCAGATTAACGGTGCCAAAATACATCTGTTCCCCTTCGTTGGGTGTCACTGGGTAATGACTGCAACCTAAAATAGCATACACATGATGAAGAAATCATTATTTGTATACATATACCCTATTTTCCCTCAGCTTTTATTTTGAAAAAGTAGAGAAATTAATGTTATTTTTAATTTTTATTTATTGATTTGAGAGACAAAGAAAGAGAAACATCAATTTGTTGTTCTACTTATTTATGCATGCATTGGCTGCTTCTCATATGTGCCCTGACCAGAGACCAAACCCCCAATCTTGTTTATTGGGTGGATACTCAAACCAACTGAGAGCTATAGGGCAAAATTAATATTATTTAATGATGCCTTATATTTACAAGATGTACTAACAAACTTTTAACTCCGTGTTGTTTGTGTATTATGCTCTGTATTTAAGATACTTGACATGTCTTAAGAATCTTACAGGTTGGGAAAAAATCTTGCATTAGACTGATTTTTTAATTGAAATATTTAGGATTTTACCACTCAGGGGTGTAGTAGATATTTAAACACTTAAGTGAATTTGATTTAATGTATAGGTTTGATTTTTATGCTGCACAAATGCCTAAGAGAATTTGATCTACTACATTTACACTAATGTCATAACATTTGCTGAGGGCTTACTCCTTGCCATGCACTGTTTTAAGTGCTTTCCATGCACTAACTCAGGTCAGACTCACAACAACTCTGAATTGTGTACTATTGCTACCCCCACCTTCAGACAATAAAAGAGGCACAAAAAGTTGCATGACTTAACCAAGGTCACACAGACAGCTAGTAGCAGAGCAATCTGGCTGGGAGCCTACACTCCTAACCAATGACTGTTCAGTGCACTGGAAGACTCTTACAGGAATACTTTGTAAGGACTCAGGACTGGGTGGAGAATGGGCCAAGATGATATACAGAGTATAATTATGCCTTTTTAGGGGCTTGATGTATCGAAAAAAATCAGATACAGCAATGTGTGAATTTGTCATAAAGAAAATTTAATAAATGAATTTTATAAATAGTGCTCAAATATGTAAGAGAATTTGATTTGTATGCTTTTGTGACTTTAATATGTAATCCTTAAGAAAATTCTATCACATTTTTATAGATAATGTTTAAATGGAAACTTTAATATGTCAAATTAATAAGCTCACTGAGTGTTAAAGAGCAAGTAAAAATGTTTTATTTTTAACATGAAAGTGATAGATTATAAATGAATTTGAGATTTGTGTTTAAATACTTAATAACAACTAGCCTTAAAATTTACAGCCTTAATCATTAAATATCAATTAAATGCAAACAGTTTGATGGGTTCCTTTTTATGTGCAAAAACTTGCCTCTGAAATTTAAAAATCTCAACTAACAATTGACAGTTACAGCCCTATTTTGCGAAGGAGGAAACTAGGTAAGGATAAACTTCCCAAGATAACAGAACTGGGCAGTGGTGGTTCCTCTCTTCCAGCCCAGGCAACACAAGGCTTTCAAAGCCAACACACTTAACCATTTTGCTATTCGGCCTCCAGTGTATGGAGATTCCATTTCTATAGAAAACATTGTCAGTTATGAATACACATCCTAGAGGAATATGCATCAACATAACAACACTGGTCTTTCCTGGAATGGGAATTATAGAGGATGGTTATTTTATTTCCATAATATTTTAGTAAAGGCATTATCTACCCCTTTGCCCATTTTCCAACTAATCTCTTTGCTGACAATTTAAAAATAACAAAATTCTGTACCTTTTTCTATTTTATTTTCTTCTCTGTGCTGTCAGTCAGCATTTTTAGTCATTTTTTAATATCTACCTCATGAGCTTTTTAAAAAAAAATTTTTAACATTCCTGCTTATGCTTCAAATATCACTGAGGCATCATTCCTAAGTGAAACCTTTTTGTAGGCCCCTATCCTCATATACTCTAGAAATAGTCATTCCTTCAGTTATGCTACTTACATACCTAGTACACGCTTTTATTATTAAATGCATAACACTGAATTATAGTTGGTTTTCTATCTGTCCTCTTCTCTCTTAGAGTATGTGTTATATATGTCTTTTACCAGGTCCTAGCACATAGCTTAGTTGGTTATGCCAAACATTTTGCAGTTGAGGAGGCTGAAGTATGCTTTGCATAGGTAATTGTATAGATTTTTTTCTTTCCCTAAAAGGCTTGCTGTCTTTTAGCCTTTTAATTCTTTGTCTAGCATTGGGATAGGTAATACAAATCGATACTTAAAGTTAAACTAAAAGTGGAGGAATTCAATTAAGAAGTGTCAAAAAACTAGAAAAACTGAATTATCTGAAAACAAGAAATCATTTGTGAGAAGTTAAGCATGGAGCCATGTCACACATTAACATCTGGGAGGAAGGCAGAAAATCCTTTTATGCTGGACTGCTTCAATGGTGGAAATCTCGGGGTAGGGTAGTGTTTTGCATGGTGCAGCTCTGCAGACCACCTAACACCCAAACCACTGCCCCGTGCCCTCACTTGCTGCGGCTACTGGGGCTGGAACCCTTCCAAATCTGCGGCCAGGGCAGGATAGTGAAAATGAAAAAGAAGCCACCCTGATTGCCCCTCTGAGGCTGGCGACTCTCACTGGTCACTTAGGCTGTGTGAGAGGATGGGAAGATCTGCGAGTTCACTTACTGGTGATCCTCTTAACAGTTTGCCTTGTCCTCTGGGGTAGGGGTCTCTGTTCCTCCTTGCGCAGAATAGTGCAGCCCCATTGCCCACCTTCGGGAGGACCTGCTGCCACATACCACCCTCCCGCCCACCTCCCTGAGTCTCCGCCCCCATGAGCCCCCTCCCAGTCCATGCTTCTCTGTCCCTGAGGCCACGCCCTGTGAGGCTCCCGCACCGAGGCTCTACTTGGCTCTGCCACTGTAGGTTGGGAACTCCAGGAGGGCACTTTCTCTTCTTCTCCCTCCCTTTGCCTCCCCAACCCCGCCTGTTCTTTCTGTTCCTCGTCTTTCTCTGCACAGCTGAATCCTAAAGACCTGACAGAGACTGGCTCCAGGGGAGCCCAAGGTGCTTTCCACTTAAGGGCCCTGTCCAGGCCTGGGAATCCAGCGGCGGGTGTTGAGTCTCCGTCTTCCAGATGCATCTCTGTAGTGTGAGAACCTGTCTGGGAGAATCCTGAAGATTGTTTGGACAGTTCCTCCTGGCTCACCATCTCCACCCAAGTGGAAGAGATAGGAAGGGGCACAGGTAAAGCGACTGTGGAAAAGAGAATTAGGAAGTGCCTGCCCGAAGAAAAATCAGGGAGCAAGGGCGTGAGAGCACTAAAAAAAATCTGAGGTGAATTCACTGTCAGTTAAATGGCTAGAATCTCACAATCAAAGTATGAAAACATTAAAGGAAGAAATGATGGGTTTATTGATTTCCATTTG